CAGCAGCAGAGCTATAGTCCTCCTCCGGCCACCACGATGGCGGTGGTGGAGCAAAAAATGAGCTGCCACGTTCTTACCCTCGTCCCCATTTTCCTCCTCCTCGTCTACGCCCTATTCGCCGTCTCCCCCTTCATCGACAGGAAACTCTCCGTCACTAAATCATCCACCGCCGCCGAAGCTGCGCCGCCGTCGGCGGCGGCTGGGGTGACGGTTTTGTACAGTAGACGTAATGCTAGTGGAGTGGAGAGGATCGAGGAGGAGCTGGCTAGAGCTCGGGCGGCGATCAGGGAAGCGATTCGGAGCCGGAGCTATAGGTCGTACAAGGAAGAAGGGTTCGTCCCCCGTGGGGCTGTATATAGAAACCCTATCGCCTTCCAACAGTAAGTTAATATGATTTCTGATGGAAAGTTCATGCCTCCCTTTGTTATCAAGTTCTTTTTTCTTTTTTACTTTACTTTCTTTCTTAATGGTGTTTTGTGAAATAGGGTTTTCGATCCCAGTGAAATCGTATCGTACTGCATGACATAATATGTTTTGGTTCTATCTCTATAAAATCTATGATTGGTTCGAAGAGCGTCTCGCGAGATTCCAAACTATTGCGGATGATATAGCTAGTAAATAAGTTTCACTTCATGTCAACATATTTTATTATTTACAAGGAATTCCACTTGCTTCTTTTTTTAGTACAACCTCTATACCTTATTGTATGAATCTATATCCGGCCTATGCTTTCTTTTTCTCGCTCTGGTTCATCACATGTCTGTGATCTCTATCTTTCAACATACTCCCTCTAGTTGTGTACTTCATGTTATTCTAGTAGATTTGTCAACGATTTCTCTTACATTCCACTCGTTCTAATCATACGAACGATTTCACCATGTGATAACCAGGGGAGAAAAAACCAAACCAAACCAAACCCAAAACAAAACCCCCCTTCAAAATCTCTCATTAGGTTTGACTTGTAACATAACAAATCCCTAACAAACTATTCTCACTCTCTCTCACTCTCTCTACTTTGTTTTGGGGATTTTGATTCTTTGTTGACAGGAGCCACATAGAGATGGTGAAGAGGTTCAAGGTGTGGACGTACAAAGAAGGGGAGAGGCCGTTGGTCCACCGAGCTCCCATGAACAACATCTACTCCATCGAGGGCCAGTTCTTGGACGAGATGGAGAGCGGGAAAAGCCCATTTAGGGCCCGAACCCCCGACGAGGCCCATGTATTCTACCTCCCCTTCAGCGTGGCATCCATCATCCACTTCATCTACCAGCCCATCTTGTCCAAGAAGGACTACGACCGCGGCCGGCTCCACCGGATCGTCGACGACTACGTCGGCGTCGTCGCCGGGAAGTACCCTTACTGGAATCGGTCTGGAGGTGCCGACCACTTCATGGTCTCCTGTCACGATTGGGTAAACCGTTAATTCCTCTCCCTAATGATCATGATTACCTAGTTAAGAATATTAATTAGTTACTGCGTAATATAAGGTTATAATACGTTATTGTTATTGCCCCTTTCGACAAAATTAAGAATATAGTAATGCGATAATTAGTATATGGTAATTAATGCTGCAATATAAATAGAGAATTTGTTATATTCTCAAACCGTTGAGGGAAGTCCGTTTTGGAATCGGATTATTAGCCATGAATAAATCAACCATAATGAGATATAATGAATAGGATTTATTTTTTTTATATATAAATGGAAGCAACCTAAAATGAGTTTGGTCAAGGAGAAGCATATCCCTTTTCCGTCGATGCATCTCCAGTGGGGGATTTAGGATTGGGCAGAGCAGTGGGCCACATTTTGAAAATAAGCGGAGTGAATTGGGTCGTAGCTCAACGAACACTTAAACGAACACCAAAAATAAAAAATTTACAAGTGTTATACTAATTTTGATCCAGAGGAGGGCTGGGCCACGGCCCGAGGGCTGCCCCCTGGACCGCCACTGTGCATCTTAGCTTTCATTTACCACTAAATGGGACAAGGAGAGTCCTTGTCAGTCATACTATAATAAAGCATAAAAAATCACACGTAATTAGAATGAAAAATGTGTTCAGAGTAAAAGAAGCATAAAAGTACAACATATTTAAGAATGTAACGATTGTGTTGAAAATATTGCAATATAACAAATACAAATTTAGACTCGTACATCATTTCATTTAGAAAATCCATCGAATCATGAACATGATATAAGCATAACTAGGTCGAGTCAAATCAAAACAAATGGAGATAACTGCCTTCATCACATTTACCTTGGCTTCAATCACGTTTTGCTTAACCAAGACTTGCTTATTTTTACTTGATTTTAAAATAATCTAGTTGTCATCTCCTTGAGTTCAGTGAGATCTACTTGAACTTAGAACCACTACAAAAGTTAAGACTTGGGAGAAATTCTGGGATCACGCGTGGACTTAAACAAATTGACCATATATTAAATTAGAGTGAAGTGCACGTACGTAATTATGATTACTTGCAATACAAGGTAATGTATAAGAAATTGTAAGCAATACCCACCAAGTATTGGAAACCAATGTTTTTAACCGTAACGTATCGACGGTCTTATTGGAAAAACTTCCTATAAGAAATTAAACTAGTAGACGGTTGAATCGATATCAAGCCATAATTTCACTATAAATTACCCTATCATTGACTTTTTTTTTCTATACAACATCCAATACGATTTTATGATCTTTAATGGAAACTCCAAGGTGTGATGTGACCGATTTATCTTCCACTGTCGTTTTTCAGGCACCAGAGGTCTCCACGGCCAACCCGAAATTCTATTCGAAATTCATCCGGGTCCTCTGCAACGCCAACACCTCCGAAGGCTTCCGACCGAACCGGGATGCCTCCCTACCCGAACTCTACCTCCAATACGGTCAACTCGGCCCGACCCCAACCCAATCCCGGTCGGACCACCCACCATCCAACCGGACCATCCTCGCCTTCTTCTCCGGCGGAGCCCACGGCTACATCCGTCGGCTCCTCTTCGAGCACTGGAAGAAGGACAACGACAATTCGGACCCACAAGTCCAGGTCTTCGAGCACCTCCCGAACCGAGCAATCTACACGGCCAAGATGGGTTCGAGCAAGTTCTGCCTGTGCCCGAGCGGGTACGAGGTGGCGAGCCCGAGGATTGTGGAGGCGATAAACCACGGGTGTGTCCCCGTTTTGATCTCGGCGAACTACTCGCTGCCGTTCGCCGAGGTGCTGGACTGGAGCGAGTTCACGGTGAGTGTTCCGGTGGAGAGGATCGGCGAGTTGAAGGAGATATTGGAGGGTGTTTCGGAGGAGAGGTATTTGGAGATGTATGAGAGGGTGAAAAGGGTGAGGAGGCATTTTGTGTTGAACCGGCCGGCGAAGGCGTACGATTTGTTGCATATGGTGCTTCATTCGTTGTGGCTGAGGAGGTTGAATGTTAGGTTGTAATTGAGTTTGGATCACGAAGACGAGTTGAGTTTTGGTGGATGGGGAAAATGTTCGATCCATGTTAAATTTGAAATCCGAAAGTTCACATCTTCCATCTATATGCACTTGTTCGATTCACGTTATATTGGATTCGTACCGTTGAAGGTGTACATATGATAGCTTGAAATTGAGAGACTAGGATTGTGAATTATGTTCACTTTTCGGGGGGAAAAAAATATTTTCACACTACACAGAACGTTGGGTTAGTTGAAATTTCTTGAAAACAAAACCATAACCACTTTAGACTCTAAGCTAAAGAATGCTAAGCAGACTTAAAGGCGAATAATCAGTTTGATGAAACGTTACATCATCCATCCTCACGTATATATTTATAGAGGCCGAATCTATACATTTTTTTTTCCAACTCGAAACCTTACATTGTTTCGTGAAACATTCTTTCCTAAAAGGTTCTTCTTAACCATAAAGCATTCTTTAATTCATTCCCAACATGTTAATTGAAACCTAAAGTTTGTATCTTCCATGCATCCATATGAAGTTAGCAGACAATGAAATCGGTTTTCGAATAACTTTCATTCAAACAGATACATTATACACCTTAAAATCGAGGGTATCGGGTCATTGTTGGTTCGTCTGCTTGATATGGATATCAATCACGATATATCTAACAGTACACTTTATTAGTTAATAATTAAGTATATTTTTTTAAATAATTGTGAACCGTTAGATATACTGAAGGGTTGAGATTAAACAAAAAAGTGGGTGCGTTCAGTGCACCCAAAAAAGTGAGTGCATCGAAGACATCACCATATATATATATCCCAAATCCATTACAAAATTGACATATAATCTAAGTCAATACAATTTTAGCAAGCAACATAATTTGAATATCTAGTTATACCATAACTTAATTACATTTGTGTGGCAAAAAAAGCCAATTATAAAGAGTTGACACGATGATAATGAAATCTGAACTATACATGTATATCTAACACATTTTAAATTCAAATACTAACGTCAACACCCACCTCAAAGACAACACAAAAGAAGTGGTAAATAATTGAACTTAATTATTAGTCCATTTAACTTGTATTCATGGACATTTACCGTATGTTTATAGTCAAACTACACACAAAAAAAAAGAAAGAAAAAACCCCGTCTATTGCCATTCAGCTGAATATATGACATATATAGGAAAAAGTTAGTGCAATGCTGTCAAACTACATATTCTGCCGACTTTGTCAGTAAAACTTGATTAATTGGTATTATATGTCGGCAATTTACCAGGTAAATATATACTATTATTATTATAGTTTTAGATTGTTTTAACAACGGTATATATGCTGCTGATTTTGCCAGTATAAAGCCAGATTGTTCTAACGACTGCTATATACATATGTTCAACTTGCCGGGGCAGTTACAGCCTTACAGTGGTAGTAGTTGAGTTGGTACTTGTCTCCATCAAGATACTAATAATTAAACAGAGTAGGAACGAAGGAAATGAACTACTATACATATATACAAATCCACAGCCACCCAAGAACACATAATCTTTCAAACAAAAAACAGAGCACAAATTAATGGAGAAGAAGAACCAGCCTCTGCAATTTGACGACGACGACGACGATGAGGTGGTGTTGTTTGGGACGTGGTCGAGCAGCCGTTGCACGAGGGTGGAGATAGCCCTTAAACAGAAGGGCATACCCTACAGGTACGTGGAAGTGGACCTCCAGAACAAGGGCGAGCTGTTCCTCAGCTACAACCCTGTCCACAAGGCGGTGCCCGTTCTGGTTCACAACGGGAAGCCGATTGCAGAGTCGCTCATCATCCTTGAGTACATCGACGAGTTCTGGAGCGACAGAGGACCTAAGCTTCTGCCTGAGGATCCTTACCAACGAGCTCAAGTCCGGTTCTGGTCCAACTTTCACGATGACAAGGTAATTGAACTTGCTTCTATTATTTCTTTAATCTCGCTAGCTTGTCGGGCAAGAACAGTTAGGGTTTAAATCCAAAATAACCCGAGTTATTGGGACCGGCCAACTGTAGTCATGAAAATTTATATCCTAATTTATATGCAATCTGACCTATCCCGACCCGACTTATTTGGAACAAGTATTATCTGACCCGCACTAGTATGGGGTAGGGCATGGGTATTACTTTCGACATATCCAACTATGTTTCGTTCGATCATGATTTTCATCAATATTGTCTACTTGTATTTCTCGTCTTTTGATCTTTCTAAAATCATGCTTTCATATTAAAGAGATTTTAGACTACATTTTCAACTATTTCAACTCAACCACTCATTCTACTATATTTCTAATTCATTTATGAAGTGTTTTTTATGTGATTTTTTGTAATATAATTAAATATTGATGTTTTTTTCTTCAAATAAAATATAAGAATGGATAGCCCGTCTTGCCCCTTACTCACGTGGGTATTACCCGACTTGACTCATACTTAGTATCGGGCGAGTTCGACTATTGAGGTACCCTTTGATTGCCATCACTAATCAATTAGTTCTTTACATTGTATCAAAGCATTCAATGATCGAGAAGTCTTGTGTTTGAATCGGAAGACCCATTTGTTAAATTCCTAGTAATCGGAGATCTGCAAAGTGCAAACTACAATTGATATGAGTTTTTTAATCATGCATAGCTTATATGAATTGAGGGGTCGTTTGGAGGTTAGGATTTCAGATGAAGGATTTAGCCAATACATGCATTGAGAAGATTAAGTCGTTTTTTGGTCAAATTTGTAAGAGAATACATGCATTACCTTTTTTGGGGCCCACTCACAATCCCTCAAAATGAATTATTGTGAATCTCTACCTAAAGTTGAGATTCTAAACAAAGGATTGTGTCATATATTTTTATTCCATTTTTGTCCCTACTATCTTTTCTTTATACCAACAATAACCCCATCCTCCACTACTCTTCTATCCTTGTCATCAAAATTCTACGAAAGCCAAAAAAGGGAGAAAACTTCCCTGCTCCTCCCTCGACGACAGTCGTCGGAAGTCCACCAAAAGAAAAATCATTGAACTCCCCTGCTCCTCAGTCCACGCTAATCCTTGAAGTCCCACAGGAATCGCTGCCTCCTCACCATCATCACGGGATCGGCTTGGTAGTTGAATCTCGCCATCGAAATTTGTCGAGAATCAAAGAAGAAGAGTCGGCTTCTATTGCGAATTACCTCACAAACCCATCACCATGCCCTCGCCTTTCTTTTTCTCTTTATATCTCTTTGGGTTTTCTGAAGATTGGCCCAGGGGGATCTTGAATTAGGCGGTAGATCCAACTCGTATAGAGAATTATGGATTTTCCCCCTCGACCCAATTCTTCTTTAATATTGTGTGAAACAGGGACCAACGCACTTCCTCTTCTTGTGGGGTTTCGAGTTTAGAGGAGATGGTGCTAATTGTAATTGATTTCTTGGCGGGGATTTGAGTAGGACGGATATAAGGGAAAGTAATTAATTGTGATGGCTGGAGTTGATTTTTGAAATCGAGGAAGCTTTGAAGTTTCTGCAATCCTAGCGGCAACAATATGGTAGCGGCGAGACGACGATAATTCTTTGCTTTTTTTTTCTTCTTCTTTGATTTGCAAGAACAAAACATTGAAGGGTAAATGTGTATTTTTCTTCAAAAAGGTGTGTTGCTTTTTAATTTATAAAAAAGTAGAATCATAGATACCAAACAATGTATTTGAGAAATACATTAATTTGCACAATACATATAATTACAATACACCAATTCATTGAATCTATCAATTTACACAATCACAACCTCCAAACATGCCCTGAGTTTGGTTAGAAAGGGTCTGTTAATAAATAATAGCTGAGGCCACCAAGTTGTATATCGAAAAGCTTGACTAAGATGTTTAATATGTGAAAAGTTCAGGTATACAAATATATTAACACTAAATAATATAAAATTATAAAATTGTATAATCGAATATCTCTCAACCATATTTCGAGTATTGGTACCAACTAATAATTCTTGACTGAGCTTTGTTTTTATTATACAGATGATCCCAGCCACATTCAAGATGGTACTAACCGGAGGTAAAGAGGAGGAAGTGGAGAAAGCAGTCAAAGAGTTCGACGAGTTGCTCACCGTGTTCGAACAAGGGATCCAGAGAGATCTCCCCGCCGCGTTTGGTCCTCATCGCTCCGACGACGGCGAAGCCATGGGATTTCTGGAGATCGTGGTGGGTATAAACGTCTGCAACTACGCCGCCATTGAAGAGGCCATCGCCGGGATGATTGACGAAGCAAAGCACCCTGCGTTTGCGTCGTGGGTCAACGCCATCACTGAAAAGCCTCTGATGAAGGAGTTGCTCCCTCGCCACGACCAGCTCGTCGCCAAGATCAAAGGAATGCTTGCTTCGATGCCCTAGTAAAGGGTTAGGCCCACGACCAATGGGCCTTCATCGATCCCAAAAGCCACGAGTGAAGGGAAAGCAAGGCCTTTTTTCGGCCCAGAAACATTGTACAACAACAAATTGTCATGAAAAGAAAGGGGTTTGCTTCAATGATATTTTGTTGATTAGAATTTGCTTACACTCCATATAAAGTTCGTTCGCCTTTCTTATCATTCTAAGTTAAGTATGTGTACTCTATATATATTGTGGTCTATACCACATCACAACTGTTTTAAATCAATTAAAAAAATTTAGGGTAGACCATACTTTACACAAATGCAAATTTCTCATTTGGGTATATGTTGACTTTTGTGCACATTTCTTTCATAAGCTCGTGAATTCAGAGAATGGATGAAAATTCAATCATGGAGATTCTTAATAGAGTTGTATTAGAGATTTGAGTGTCAATCCACATCGTAAACATGAGCATGACAATAACATGACAAAAAATATGATCAAAATAATATATATGGAGAAAAAGACATAGTACATTCTTATTTCATTAAAAGAAAATATGTGCAAATTATTCATCAAACAATAAATATGTAAAACATTATGGTGATGGTTGACTTAAAGCAAATATTTAACCATAACACAGAGTAATAATCTTTAAATGGTTTAACCTGTTTTGACTCGCATAATTCAAAAGAACAATGATCCATACTGACCTCATCATTCATTATTCATACCGATTCTTATCACAATGCATCAAAACCCTTATACCACATCCACCCCACTTACTACTTAAGGGTTTAAACCAATTGCATTTCATCCTACTTGTTCATCACTCTCCAAACTCACAATAACTATGTACACCAGGAACAATCGGTCCAACTCGACCGACCACCCGATTCAACATGCGACTTACAACTTAAACTCGACCTAATCGACCCGAGATAAATTAACTCTTTCCATATTCCTCCTCAATCAGTATCCAAATTCATTGCCCCCTCCCTCATAATGGTGACTTTTAATTATCCTCCCTTCCAAATTACCCCAATTGATCATTAAGCTTATATACCTTAAATTCCTTCTTTCCCTTTTCTTTCACTCTCCCATACCACATTTACCTCTTCCTCTCCTCCCTCTTTTTTTTTTTTTTGTCAAAAGATAATCGATATATTGATCAGAAAAATAGGTAATTACATCCTGGAGCTAAGCCAGGCCAGAAAATTAAAGTAACGACTCGTAGTCGGGTACAAAGAAAGAGCCTTCCTAGCCACCAAATGGGCTGCCCTATTACTACGCCGACCTACAAACCGAACAGAGAAACCTCCCAACGAACCCAGTATCCCAACAATCTCCACAAGGAGTGCCCCTACCCTACTATCCCTCGTATTAGTCTGAGCAATCTTCTCAATAAGCACCTTGGCATCACCCTCAAACCGCACCTCCACAAACCCCGAGTCGCGGCACCAGAGAACAGCCTCACGAAGAGCTAGAGCTTCAGCAACCAGGGGATCCTCAATGCCGGCAAACTGAAAGCCTCTGGCTATCAGAATGTTCCCCAAGTGATTCTTCACCACCATCCCACCGGCCGAGTGAGAAGCTACCTTAGTAGCCCCATCCCATAAGCAGATTAACGGGCAATGCGGAGCCTCACAATCCGGAATAACAGGACCACCCTGGCTTTTGACCTTCGGAAGATTGACCCATTCCTGGTACTGCTGGTGATACTGTCGCATTAAAGCTGGAAGCCCAAACTGTTTTCCTTCAAACACCACCCAATTCCGGGCTCTCCAAATTCGCCAGAGGACAGCTGTAACCGCCATAACCAAGTGATCCTGATGGAGGAGATTCAACAATCTCTTCAGGTACAAGGGAAAAGTGTGGCGGGGCAGCCCCTGCCCGAGATATTCCAACCCAGCATAATCCCAGAGGGCTCGAGCCACCGGACAATCCAGAAACAGATGCTCCAAGGTTTCAGATTCCGCCCAGCAAACCGGGCAACGAGGGTGCACTGGGATCTTCCTCTCAATCAGAGCTTCCGTAGTTGGAAGGAGGCGATTAAGGATTTGCCAAAGAAAGACCCGTAGCTTCGGGGGAATAGGGGCCTCCCAGACGCGAATCCAACTAGATCTGTCCATCCAACTGACCGAAGACCTGCACCGGTCCTCCATCCTCTCCACCTGCCCCGCCAAGTGGTAAGCCGATTTGACAGTAAAAACTCCATCCTGCGTGCCATGCCAAATTAGTCGATCCGCCACATTGCCACGAGGGAGAGGAATCTCCTTAATCAGCCGACAAGTACGCGGATCAAACCACCTTGCCAAGCGTTCCTCACACCAAGACCCCTCATCCCTATCTATGAGAGAGGCCACCCGCAAGACCTCATTGGCTGGCAAAACACAGGGATTACAAGCAGGAATCATAGGGTGCAGGCCGGGGATCCAACTATCTCGAAGAAGCGGGGCAATTTGCCCGTTACCAATTTGCCAGCGAAGGCCCTTACACAATAATTGGCGCCCGAATAGAATACTCTGCCACCCCCAGGAGGGACGGGACCGCGCTTGAGCTTCAAGAAAACCGCTCCTCGGAAAATATTTCCCTTTATAAACCTGGGCAATAAGCGAGTCAGGCTCATTCAAGATACGCCAACAAATCTTAGCCAACAGGGCCTGATTGAAGTATTCAAACCGCCTAAACCCCATCCCTCCCTCATGTTTACTGCGGCACATATCACGCCAAGACATCCATCGCACCTTATCATGACCATTCTCCACCCCCCACCAAAATCGAGCAACATGTCTATCCAAGAGCCGGCATAGCGAGAGAGGAAGTTTGAAACAGGACATCACATGCAGCGGGAGTGCTAAGGCCACAGACTTAATCAAAGTTTCCCGCGCCGCCCATGACAAAGTCCGTTGCTTCCACCCCTGCAACCGAGCAAGCAGTTTTTCCTCTAGATACCGAAACGTTTCCATTTTGGACCGGGCTATAAGAGTAGGTAATCCCAAGTATTTATCATGGACACCAATAGCTCCCACTCCCAGCACCTGTCCCAGGAACTCCTGGTCCGGAACAGTAACGTTCTTGCTAAAACAGACTGCCGACTTGGCCAGGTTGACACGCTGACCACTCAGTTCCTCATACTCGTTCAAGACTGTGATCAGATTCTCGCACTCCTGGAGAGACCCGCGGAGAAACAAGTAGGAGTCATCAGCAAAGAACAGATGGGAAATGCGTGGTGCCCTCGGCGCCACTTTAACTCCTTGCAGTTTCTTTTCAGTTACCGCTTTCCTCAGGAGGGCAGCAAATCCCTCCGTACAGAGTACGAACAACAGGGGAGATAGGGGGTCGCCCTGCCGAAGGCCGCGGGAGGGCGAGAAATATCCCTTCGGGGTCCCATTCATCATCACGGAGAATGAAGTCGATTTTAAACACTCATGAACCCATTCGCACCACACTGAGCTAAAGCCCATCTTAACCATCACCGCGAGTAGAAAGGGCCATTCAACTCTATCATAGGCCTTTTCCATGTCAACCTTCAGAGCCATGTACCCTTTCTTTCCTCGCGACTTGATTTTCAGATAGTGCATTAGCTCATGTCCTATAAGGACATTATCCACAATTTGGCGCTCTCGAATGAAGGCATTCTGCCCTTCCGTGATTAGCTCTGGGAGGAAGGCAGCCAGTCTTTCTGCCATAATCTTAGTAATAATCTTGTAAACGAACTGGCAGAGACTTATAGGCCTTAACTGACGGATAGATTCCACATTGTCCACTTTTGGGATTAAGGTCAACCAAGTGTGATTAAAACTGCGAAGTATCCTACCCGTTGCAAAGAACGAGCAAACAGCTTCAATCACTGAAGGACCAACGATATCCCAGAAAGTCTTGAAGAATTTCCCTGTGAATCCATCTGACCCAGGGGCCTGTTTGGAGCCCATTTTAAAAACAGTAGCCTTCACTTCCTCCGGCTCGACTGTCGCCGTAAGCCGCGCATTCATACCCTCTGTAACTCGACAATCAATAGGAAGCTGGCCCACCCTCTCTGCCATGTTACCCACTTGGCATTCAGACGTGAAGAGATGTTGGTAAAAGCCAATAGCAATGTCAGCCTTTCCTTCCTCATCAGTGATCCAGTCTCCCTCATTATTGCGAAGCCCCGCCACAAAATTATGCTTTCGGCGGGTTCGCGTTACCGTATGGAAGTAAGAAGAGTTCTGGTCCCCTTTCTTAAGCCAGCGAACCCTCGATTTTTGCTGCCAATAGATTTCCTCGGCCTCCCATTGTCTATTCAACTCTGATTCCAATGCCCGCACTGAATCCCAGTCTATAGGGGCGCTATTCTTAATTTGATCAATTTCCTTTTGCAGAGTTCGAATATTCCGGAGGGAATTAGTCGTGCCTGCCCTACTCCAATCATACAGCAAATGCCGTACTCTCTTGAGTTTCTCCCATAGCTGGAACATAGGGGTACCAGGGATCACTTCCTGCCAAACATAGGCCACCATAGCTCTAACCTCCGGGTTTTGCGCCCAACGAGCATCAAAACGGAAGAGAGGTCTACTACGACGTTCATATGGTTTGTCCGAGAGCAGCAATGCGCGGTGATCCGACCCCTGATCCGTAAAGTGCTTAACCAACGTGTCAGGGAACGTCGAAGTCCACGAATGTGAGCAGAGCGCTCTATCCAAACGTTCCCTAATGCATGCAGCCCCCATTCGTTTGTTGGTCCAAGTAAACGGGTCTCCTTGAAATCCTAGGTCATGGAGACCTAAGTCATAAATAAAGTTCCGGAGACCAGTTGCTTGGTTAGCATTCCAGGTGTTCCCCCCGTCTTTCTCACTAGCTTGGAGAGTCACATTAAAGTCCCCTATTACCACAAAAGGCCCCTCAAAAGAATCACAAATTTCTCGCAGCTGCGCCAATTGGCCATTTCTAATTGCTTCCACACAACTAATGTAAACACACACCACCACGTAGGAAAAATCCCTTTCATTAATCCGAATACAAATGCAAAAATTGGAATGAAAAAGAACCGAAGCATCAACTTCGGGGACCCAACCAACTACAAGACCACCCGATGCATCAACAGCATCCACAAAAAAACAATGCGACAAAGGAAACCCTAAACCCCGCATACGACGGGAAACGACTCTCCGGCGCGATCTTGTCTCCGAAAAGAAAACAAGGTCCGGTTTATTCGAAAAAACTAACCCTAAAGCAGTTTGGAATGTGAGGGATGGCCCAATTCCTCTCACATTCCAGGCCAATAGCCTCATTTATCTGATTGGGGCCATTCCAGGCTGGCTTCCTCCACCTTGTCATCATTTACCTCTGCTTCAACGAACTGTTTCTTAGGTGTGGGAACCTCCCCCACCTCACCTTCAACTTCCTCAATCTGTCTCTTTCTTCCTTCCCTAACCGGCTCAGGAAGGTTGGACCCATATTCATCAAGTGCTGCCTCCAAAGCATTCCCTTCCCCTTGCCCCCTCAGAGACCCCTTCCCCGCCGAGTCATCTCTCAAGGTTAGGCCAGCTTCGAAGGCAGAGACAACCTGACGAACATGACCATGCGCCACACCACTAACATCTGTACACTCTACGGGCGACCGCTTTCGTATCACGAACGAGTTGGCCTCATTACCATCCGGGGAGTCAAGCAGAGACGAGCCACTCAAACCAGGCGTCGGGGCCACTTCTTCACGGGGCTTAGGTGAGACCTTAGCAGGAACCTCCACCATTTGATCATTACTCCCATTTAGGCCTCTATCATGAGGGATAATTTTCCCATTCCTTCCCTTGCTCCCACCAGCAGCGGATGCGGCCTGAATGGCCTGGCCCGCACCCCTTTTCTTAGCAGCCTTAGGCCCGGTTTCTGCCTTCCTCGGCCCAGTCTTCGGCCCACCAGGTTTCGGTCCACCCGGGCCCGTCCGCCCACCATCTTCCTTCCCCTCTGTCTTGCGCAGCTTACTAGCTTTCTTCTTGGGCTTGGCCGCCCTAGGTTGGCCATCAGCAGGCCCAACCCGCACCTGCATCCCACCCTCCTGTACAACACTAGGCCCAATCCGAGCCTTCACCCCATTCCCCTCCTCCACTGCCTCCCTGATCGGGCTGATTGGCCCTCTTGGGCTTTGAGAAACAGCCTGCTGCTGGGGCTGCACACCAGTAAACTCAAAATCATCGTCGCTGTCCTCTAGGAGGATTTTCCTCCTTCGCCTTCCAGCCTCCACCGCCATATGAATTGGCTTCAACTCCCCCGAGTCCTCCTGTTCTATCACTTCCATCTCAGTATCTGTCTCCTCCTTCCTGGCCGGTGCCCTCTCCTCTCTGGTATTCATCGATAGCCTCGCGTCCCGAGGCTGTTGCCCCGTTCGTTTCCTCATTTCATTGATTGCTTGCAACTTCGGGGATCGAGAGACCCTGAACCCCCGTGGGCTGCCGCGACGAGGGAATGAGTTCTTCCGTAGCCAGGGAATTGGAGCACCCTCATCTGGTCGGGCTCGCTGGGAAGCTGCATCACGAGGACGTCGGCTAATTTGCGGGGAGGCCCCCCGCTGAGCATCTCCCGATTGAAGGCCTCGCGTCCGCCCCGCCATTTGAACAGTTTCTCCATGCCCCCGAACCTCCTGGTTAACCCAAACAGTCTTTCGCACACCCCCGTAGGGCTTGGGAACAGCTTCTTGATCATACACTTTCCTACCCTGCTTTTTAGTTATCATATGAATTCCATACCTCTCCTTCCTAGCCGGCGGTTCGAATGAACAGGTGCTTTGCAAGTGTCCAACACGGCCGCAATGGAAGCAGAAACTGGGTAAGTGTTCATACTTCAAATTAACCCAGAAATTCCCTGTTTCCTCACAAATCGCAAAGAGCTGTGATCGGAGCGGCTGTGTGAAATCAATCATTGTTTTAACTTTGATAAACTGCTCGCCTGTTTCTTTGCAGGCAAAGACATCCGCCTCCAGCACTTGCCCAATGGCAGTGGAAATCATCTTCTGTCCAAATTGCTTGGTACAGCAATCCTCTTTCACTCCCCATATCTGGATGCGAAACGGTGCTACCGCCAGATCATCAAAGATGCTTCGAGTGATGTTGGGCAGCCAAGATCTAAGCACCAGGAGCTTGTCGTTCACAACCCACGGGGAGCGCTTCAATACCCAAATCTTAGCTTCTTCACTAGGCATCACAAATTCAAACAGGCCATGTTTGGCCTGCGTAACTCGGATTTGTCCCCTTCCCACCCATGGCGTGTTCACACCCTCTCTGAGCTCCCCAGGAGTGATTCGAGCAGTGGAGAACACCCTCCCCAGCAAGGTACGTGCCGCTCGGAATCTTGTGGATTGGATTTCTTCAAGAGAAAACTGCACCACCTGGTCTTCGTTGATACGTGCCATCTCCGGAACCTGCGAAATCACCAATGGTGCTGGCAAGTTAGGGGAAAACATGTTGGAAGCCTGGCGGAGCAGATGGGCAGGACCCATAGGTGAATTTGGGAAAAAGAACAACGCCTGTCGAGGCAGGGGTTTCCGAGCAGAGATCCTCAACGAGGTTATACCTGATTGAAGAACGTCGGGAGCTGAAAGTTGGGAAGCAGATTCCACCCGATCCACAGCAGTTGCACTTTTGATTGAGGAGTGCATCTGGGAACGGGGATTTAAATAAGGGGCCGAGGCCCCTAGGCTCCCTTTACCAGTTGGAATTCTAACGGTCTTCAAGGGCAGAGTCCGAGTAGGAAACTCTAATCCGAATCCGTAACCATAAGAAATTTTGGAGAATATCTCCTTGATCCCTAAAAACCAGGGATGGATATCCGAGGCTAACAAACTATTGTTATCCCGCGTTTCGCTCCGCCGCCTCAATCGAGGAGTTCCGGCGGGGCATCTAACACAGATCGACGGCCGGAGACCGGTGCCCCCCCTGTTTTGCTGCCACCAGTTCAGCGCTGCCGCGTCTAGCTTAGGGGTTGGAGCCAGATTGTGCTCCTGCCTTTCCTGGATCTGTTGCTCAGGGAGTATCCAAGTCGCACAGGAAGGCCCCTCTCGAGGTTCCTCAGCATGTGAACTGGATTGGTGATCTTCCTCCAGTTCGTACGACGCCGGTAGCTGAAAATGCCAGCCCTTATTCGGGTTCCTGGGTTGGTGCTCGTCCCCCAGTTCGTACGAATCCGGTAGCTGAAAACGCCAGCCGTTCTTCGGGTTTTTCTTCTGACGTTTGACCCCGATTAGTGGTGAAAGAGCTTCAGCAGGGCATTTCCGTTTGCTGGCTCTTGTTTTAGAAGCAGTCCCTGTCGATCTCTCCTCCCTCTCCCACCCATCCTTAAACAAAGTCATTCCACATATGTGGGTAAAATACCTCGGATACCACTTAAGTTTCAGAATTGGGGCATGCATAACACTTAAGTTTGAATAGGGCGTCGGGTACCACTGAACTCAATTATTTGTGCACCCGGTACCACTTAAGTTTAATGTTAAGTGCATTCCGTTCAAGTTAACGGAATATTCTTGGAATATTCTGTTTTCTAAATTTCTTAATTGGTCCTTCTACTTTTCTTATTGTAAAAAATCATTTTTGACTTATGAAAAACATCAATTTTTATTATTTAATGGGTATCCTCTTTTGAAAACTTGATACCAAATTTATTTTTGAATAGAAAATTTAAAATCAATTATTATTATAAGTATTTTCACTTATTATTATGTTTTCTAATAATTGAATTATTCTCTTTTTCTTTATGATTTTGATACCAAACCAATTTTTGAATAGGAAATGTAGAATCAATTATCATTATAAGTACTTTAAATTACCATTATGTGTTATAATAGTCGAATAATTTTCTTAAGCAAATATATCCTATGAATTCTATATCGATATAAATAATATGAGGATGTTATATTTAATTCTCGTACATCATCTGGATGTTGTATAATTTTCTTGGTTACTTTCGTTCTATTTTCGTTCTAAATTTTCTTCAATTACTGTAATATGTTTTATTCTTTCTAACTATGTTCCATTTATCATTCTTTGGTCTTGATATATTAATGATCAATTAGATTCTATTTTAACTATTTTTAATGGTACTTCTTATTGGATTAGTGATTTAAATAGATCTTCTAATATTGATTTTAAATATTTATTCTTATATTCTATATATTTATTCTTCTTCTTGATATTTGTTTATTATTTTTACTAACTTATCTATTTTATTGAAATTTTGATTAGTCATTTTAGTAATATTATGTTTAGAAGGTTTTTTAATTTCTATATTAGATACAAACTTGTTGAAATATAGTTTTGGATATTTTTAAAAGTTTTGGGTACCAAAAAGTAATTAAAATTTTGGGTTGGATGGAAAACTAGACGGATGCACATTTTGGTGACTTTAATGGTATCCGACGCCCTATTCAAACTTAAGTGGTATGTCTGCCCCGATTCTCAAACTTTAATGGTACCGGAGGTATTTTACTCCACATATGTTGTAAAATATTTACCGAGTTTGATCCACAGCAACGTAAACTTACAAAAGACAAACACAAAAATATTTCTGAATGAATTATATCTCCACCACAATTAAATCTGAAAATCTAACGAGGTGAGTACACTTTTGTGACGTCGTAAATAGAAAACAATGATTATTTCCCTCTCACAACCATCAACAAAGGGCATCATCATTCCACATATTGGTTAACGAATTGGATATATATATATATATAACCTAGCCAGAACCACCAAGAAGAGCTTTGAGCTTCTTCACCTCAGCTTCATCAATATTCGTCGTCTTCTCCACCAAAAACGACGAGAAGTAGTTGCCAAACTCTCCGTTAGTTTCCGTCCAACTCTATTAATGAAGTCTGTTAAGTGCTGACGTGGCAAACGAAAGTGTTTGTCAGTCTAACAGAAACGCCATGTCACCTGCCACGTCACTAAAATTTGCCATGTAAAATTCTCCCAACCTAACCATTAAACCAGCTCGACCTATAAACCGACTCCAGACCCACAATTACCAATCCAACTCCGCCGCATTCCAATCTCTCTCTTCCTTCTCTGCCTCTTTCAAAGCCCATGTTGATGTGACTTGAATCGGACTATCAGCCGCTACGACATGGCAAGTTCCAACACTGCCTGGACTTGCTGAATGTCTTGAGTGGGTGACTCCGCCTTGCGGGGCATTGATGGCGGGAGAGAGAGAGAAGGAGCAGAGTACATCAGAGATTTCAGAGGAAGAGGATTCAAGTCAAGGTGGAGATTTGTTGATGTGACTTGAATCGGACTATCAGCCGCTACGACGGTGTATGGGCTCAATGTTATTTGGGTTCGGGTTCTGGGCCTGGTCTGTAACCGTTTCCTTTGCTAGATTGGATTAGGTTTAGACCCACATGGAGAAGTAATATAAATACTTCTCATACTCCTCTGTAATATGTAATCTCCTCAATAAAGTGAAACTGGCTCTCTCTCGCCCGTGGACGTAGCTAACACACATCGTGTTAGTGAACCACGTAAATCGTGTTTCGGGTTTTTGATTCTCGCTTTCGTATTCTTGCTTTGTCGATTCCAGCGACTTCCCGATCCGTAGCAGTGCATTTATAACAAGTGGTATCAGAGCCGCGGCTTGGAAATCAGGCTAGGGTTTTTTCGATTCAGAAGAATGACGTCGGTGAACATGAAGATCGAAAAGTTCACGGGGAAGAACAACTTCGCTATATGCCAGATCAAGATGCAGGCTTTATTAAAACAGCAAGGGCTGTGGGGGACGCTGTCTGCGAAACAGAAGAAGGCAGCGGTCGATGACGATGAGTGGAATACCCTGGAGGAGAAGGCCCACTCGACCATCATGCTATCGTTGTCTGATGACGTCATCATTGAAGTCGCTGCTGAGAAGACTGCCGCGGGCTTGTGGTTGAAACTGGAGAGTCTGTATATGACGAAGTCTCTAACCAACAAGCTGCATCTCAAGCAACGGTTGTTCAGCTTGAGGATGCAAGAAGGTACGCCTTTGAGGGAACATCTCGAACAGCTTAACTCTATTTTGCTGGATCTGCGTAATATAGATGTACAAGTTGATGACGAGGATGCTGCCCTAATCCTACTGGTTTCTTTGCCGAGTTCATATGAGAATTTTGTTGATTATTTTATTGCTGGTAAAGAAAGCGTGTCGTTGGAGGATGTCAGGTCTGCTCTTCATACGTGAGAGATCAGGCATAAGGCGTCTGGATCTGGTACAGGTGGTGAGGCATCGGGTTTGACTGTTACAGGTGGAAAGGGAAAGAAGAAATCTGGTAAAGGGAATTCGAGCAAGAATTCCAAGGGTCCCGGTCCACAGCCAGGTGATGCTTGTCACAACTGTAAGGAAGTTGGGCATTGGAAGTACAATTGTCCCAAGAGAAGAGGGCAACAGAAGAAACAAGGTTCAGTTGCCGTGGCAAAAGTGGACAATAGTTCTGAAGATGATCTCGCCCTGGCTGTAGATGAGAAGGCACATCGTGGTGATGTGTGGTTTCTGGATACTGCTGCCTCATACCATATGTCTCCGAACAGGGATTGCTTCACAACCTACGAGCAGATAGATGGTGGTAACGTGGTCATGGCTAATGGAGCTGTCTGCAAGGTTGTTGGAATCGGGTCCATAAAGGTTCGGACACATGATGGTTCGTTCTGTACCGTGAATGATGTCAGGCATGTTCCACGAATGACAAAGAACCTGATCTCCTTGAGTCTACTCGACAGCAAGGGTTTCAGCTTCAAAGGAAAAGGTGTAGTTGTGTATGTCTGCAAAGGTTCAAGGAAGGTGCTGAAGGGTGTGAAGCGTGGGACCTTGTATGCATTACAAGGGTCTGTGTTGTCTGGTTCTGCTGCAGTTGCATCGTCTCAGGTTCAACAGGAAGATATGACCACTCTTTGGCACATGATACTGGGGCATATGAGTGAACGGGGGATGCAAGTTCTATCGAAGAGGGATCTTCTTTGCGGGCACAAGGTGCAGAATTTGGAATTCTGCGAGCATTGTGTGTTTGGGAAGCTACATCGCAGCAAGTTTCCCAAGAAGGGTATCCACCGGGCGAAGGGGACTGGATTACCTCCACTTCGACTGTTGGGGTCCTTCACGAGTTGAATCCATTGGAGGCAGCAGGTATTTTCTGTCTATTATTGATGATTATTCAAGATTTACTTGGATTTTCATGATGAAGCAGAAAAGTGAGGCTTTCACGAAGTTCAAGCAGTGGAAGACATTGGTGGAGAATCGGACCGGTAAGAAGATCAAGAAGCTGCGAACGGACAATGGTCTGGAGTTCTGTAATTTTGAGTTCAACGAATTCTGCAAGGATGAAGGGATTGCCCGTCATCGGACTGTTAGAGATACACCCCAGCAGAATGGCGTTGTAGAAAGGATGAATCACACATTGTTGGAGAGAGCACGGTGCATGCTCTCAAATGCTGGGCTAGAG